CAAAATCATACATGGACAAATACACACTCACACACCAACTCAAACATAAATGCACACACACAATAGGTTGGACTTGATGGACTTATGTCTTTATTCAACCTCAAATACTATGTAACTATGTTACTAACGGGCTAGTGAGGCGGATGAGTGGTTTGACGACTGCCGAGAAATTCTTAAAGGAGAACTATGGGGTCAGGGCTTTTCCCCATAGTTCTCCTTAGGGTAACGGGAGGACACAAACTAGCGTCCTCCCGTTACCCTAAGCTCAGTATACCGCGAGCTACAGCTCGCGGTATACTGAGACGCCGGAGTGGATCCCGACATCGATGTGGAGATCCGCCCAGCTGCATGAGTGACAGCTGGCTCTGCCTATCTGGCAGAGCCAGCTGTACCCGTCCGTTCCGCCAGTCAGCGCTGGCGGAGCGGGGAGGGGGGAATCCAGCCCCTCCCCTGTCACGGCAGAGAGCCGTGACATGATCGAGAGGTGAGCGAACGCCGGTATATGTTGGCTCACCTCCCGATCTACTGAGCCAACCTGTGACAGTCTCATTGTCACGGGTCGGCTAGAACTATGAGGTGAGTGAGAAGCACTCACCTCATAGTTCTCCTTTAACAAATTTCCTATAGAAATTTGGAGGAGCCTAGGAATCTCTGCAATGCCTTCCTGGAGTTGGGAACTGGTCAGTTTAAGATGCAATCCACTTTGCCTTGATCCATCTGAACTCCCTCGGGAGAAATCACGTATCCTAGGAAGGAAATGGTTTGTTGTTCGAAAACACATTTTTCTAATTTCACATATAAGGCCCTGTTCACACCAAATTCATAGCAGATCCGGTCAGGTTTCTGCACACGCATGCTAGTCTTTTGTACGTGTTTTTGACGCATTTTTTGCTGCGTTTTTGATGCATTCCGAGCTCTTTTTGGTAAAAAAAAATAACGTTTAAAATGGGCTTTCAGTGCGTTCCAGGCATTTGCATGCGTTTTTGATGCGGTCCAGAGCAGGTAAAATAGGGCCTGCTGCAGTTTTTTAACCTGCTCTGGATCTGCTCTGCAACTGCACGCTGCGATGTGAACTGGAGCAAAAAATACCATTGGAATACATTGGACGCAGTTTTGATCCGGTCTGCAACTGATCTGCTCTGCACCTGCTCCGCGCTTGGTGTGAACAAGGCCTAAGGAGTGGGCCCTGAGCCTTGCAAGAACCCATCTGACATGTTTCCCGTGTTCCTGGAGGTTGTCAGAGTATATAAGTATGTCGTCAAGATAAACCACTACACATATGTCCAACAGGTTTCTGAATACGTAATTTATGAAGGCTTGAAAAGTTGCGGGGACGTTGCACAGCCCAAACGGCATGACTGTAGCGTGTTCTGAAAGCCGTCTTCCATTCATCTCCAGGTTTGATACGGATTAGGTTATACGCGCCTCTCAAAACAAGTTTGGTAAATATCTGCACAGTTTGTAGCCTCTCAATAAGCTCAGGAATGAGAGGTAGGGGATATTTATTTTTAACCGTGATCTTGTTTATTCCGCGATAGTCTATAATGGGTCTAAGACTAGAGTCCTTGTTCCTCACAAAGAACATCCCTGCACCAGCCGGAAACGTAGAGGGTCTGATAAACCCCTTTCGTAAATTCTCCTCCAGGTAGGTCTTCAGATGCTCTAGCTCAGGCTTGGACAGGGGGTAGATCCTCCCTGTGGGTATGGTTCCCCCGGGTATCAACTCGATCGGGCAATCGTACAGTCGATGCGGGGGCAGCGTCTCTGCTTTGCGTTTGCTAAAGACGTCAGAAAAACCGTGGTATCTTTCAGGGACTTGATCTAGAGTGATTTACATTAGTGGAGAAATGGGATAACAGGTCTCCCTACAGAATGAGGAATCTAGTCTTATGCTTTCCTGAGCCCATATAATGGTAGGCTGGTGTCAGCCAGGGTAGCCCTAGGACCACTGGGAAGGGAGGGGAAGAAATGATGTCAAACCTGAGGTACTCAGTATGACTATCTGCACAGCTGACCAGAAATGGTTGGGTTTGGCAGGATAGAGGAGGTAGTACCATCTATGAAACTCACGGAGACAGGAGTTAATTTTTTAGTATGGGGTATTTTATTCTGGTTTACTACATGGATGTCTATGACATTTCCACAAGCTCCAGTATCCAGCATCACTCTAGTAGTTATCCGGACTTGGTCCCACTGTAGGGTGAGAGAAACGTATAAATAATGAATTGAACGTGGGGTTGCAGAATTCATTTTGCACACATGAAGGGTCTTACCTCCGCTCCTTTTGGTGATTATAGGGCAGGTATCAACCTCATGCTTGGGGGATGCACAGTAGAGGCAGAGATTTTGGGCTCGTCTCCGGGTCTTTTCGGTTTGGGTAAGTGGACCCCGCATGGTTCCAATCTCCATTTTCTCCACCGGTGAGGGGCTGGCTCTTATGGAAGAAGGGTAACTACCCGAAACCCGCTCAGCACGCCTTTCCCTTAGGCGTCTGTCTATGGTGATAGACCACTGAATGAGGGCTTCAAGGGTGTAGGGCAGATCATCCCTGGCAGACTCATCCTTTAAGGTTTCAGAGAGACCGAGTCGGAACTGATTCCGGAGGCCGATGTCATTCCACTTTGTCTCTCTGGCCCATCGCTGGAATTCAGCTATAAAGTTCTCGACAGGCTTCTTCCCCTGCTTCAGGGCCCTTATGGTGTTTTCCGCTGTGATCTGCTTGCTCGAGTCCTCGTAAAGCCGGGACATGGACTCCAGAAAGAGTGGATAGGAGTCCAAGAGAGGATCATCTTTCTCGAGATAGGTGTCAGCCCAAGCTCTAGGCTCTCCCCTGAGATAAGAGATTAGAGTGAGAACTTTCACTCTGTCCATAGGGTACGTTCTGGGACGTAAGTCGAACATTAATTTACAGGAGTTGATACATTTTGCATTTTCCAAAAAAAGGTTCCGGAGGACTGACCTTAGGTTCCGGTCCGTCTTTTGGCGCAGCAGCATATTGTGCCACAGTCTCTTTTAGAGCTTGATTTTCTAGCTGCAGCTCTTGCATAGAATGCTATAGGGTTTCCACCCTCTGAGTGAGGGTAACAATATGTGCAGCTTGTTCCGCTGCATTCATCTTAGGGTTCCACTATTCTGTAAGGCCTTGGCCAAACGGGGTTGAATCTCAGCTGCGGAACAGGGTAACAACTTGGAAGAAAATGGTTTAACCTCCCTGGCGGTAATCCCGAGTCTGGCTCGGGGTGAATTTTCAATGCTAGGAGCGGTAACCCCGAGCCAGACTCGGGGCTGCAGAGAAAAGTGACACTCACCTTGTCCCTGCGATCCCGCGGCGTCCTCTGCTGTACGCGGCTCGAAAATGAAACTAAAAGCCGGCATCTGACTTTTAGTTTCGTTTTCGAGCGTCACAGCAGGCGGGAAATTCAAAAGTGAAAAATTGCAATATACAAAGAATACACACAATACAATGTAATCTGCTATAATACACTTATATATCAAACTATTTAACTTTATAATCATACCGCCAGGGAGGTTAATTGGTTGCTGTACGGTAATCAGTGTTGGACTCCTGGCGTCACACTCAATCTATCATACGGATAGTAAGGAGTCCTACCATCATATACCGTGAAAGCAAGTAATTGTAGTAAGTGGGACCACTGTGTATTACTTCATACAAGTGGTCTTTGGCTAGGGAAGATTAATAGGGTTAATTGCAGATGGCACATGTGCATGCAAGTCTCAACAACCAACAGGTAATGCAATTATTTGTAGTTAGAGGAATAGCGTACTTGCGGATGGTAAAGTTCACATACGAATGCAGGTTGCAACAAACAGCAGGTAATGCAGTTATTTGTAGTTAGATGAATAGGGCAAAGCTCACATATGAATGCAGGTTGCAACATACAGCATGTAATGCAGCTATTTGTAGTTAGATGAATAGGGCAAAGTTCACATATGAATGCATGTTGCACCAAACAGCAGGTAATGTACTCCTTAGAGAGGCAGAGGAATAGGGTTACTTGTGGTTTGTTGTAAAAGGACGTCCACCCCAGGGGGATGGCTGAGAAGGCAGGCTGAAGTCTTCCATCCTCCGGCGATGTCCTCAGTCTCTCTCTTTGGGGGTAGTAAGGGGGTTCACGTGACCAGGCAGAGCCAGCAGGCGCTCACTCCACACAGTAGTGGAACGCCGAGCTGACATTGTGCCGGCTTAAGCCGGAAGGTATGGTAGGAGCCCTTGACATCATCTGGCCGATGCGTTCCAGCCTGGAACGCATCGGCGTGAGTAGGACTTCCCCATAGCGGCTGCGCTCCACCGTGGAACGCAAAGGACGTGCCGTGATCGTTACAGATACGAGGCTTGGCATCGTCACACTTCCACCGGAAAAGATTCTGTCTATCCAGAGCAGGATTCGACTTGCAATTGCTGCGGATCTCCTCTCAGCGGCCCAGGTCACCAACTGGCTCAGGGTTGTTGGTCATTTTGCGCAAAGGGCATGGTTTCCAACGTGCTGGAGCTGAGAGCAGCTTTTCAGGCTCTGATGGCGTCCAGGGAACTAATTTGCGGCAAGTCAGTCCTCAGGATGGACAACTCGACCGCAGTCGCCTATGTGAAGAGACAAGGGGGTACCAGAAGTCGGTCCCTCCTAAAGGAAGTGGCACCTATACTGAATTGGGCACAGGTCAATCTTCTGCATTTGTCAGCCCTTTACATATTCGGTGTTCTGAACTGCCAGGCGGACTTCCTGTCGAGAGTGGCGATAGACAACAACGAATGGCCGCTTCTCCCGAGTGTTTTTCGGAAGATCACGAGATGGGCTTTTCTGCCGGAGGTGGATCTCTTTGCCTCACCAGCCAACAGAAAACTATAGCTGTTCTACTCCAGATACCCTTGCCAGGAGGCGATAGTGACAGATGCACTGACGGCGACATGGACATTCCGGACAGCTTATGCTTTCCCTCCTGTCCCCTTGATTCTACCTTTTTGAGGAGGCTGTCCCAGCAGAATGTTTGAATTCTGGCAGTCATTCCGGATTTGCCCAGGAGGCCGTGGTATCCCTTGCTTCGAAACTAGCGCAGGGACCTCCTCTCCCCCTGCCTGTAGTGGAAGACCTTCTCTCTCAGGGTCTGGTCCTTCATCCCGCTCCCGACAGGCTGTGTCTGATGGCATGGAGAGTGAAAGGATCCGACTACTACGCCTAGGATGCTCTGAGAATGTAATAAACACTCTGGTGCAATCTAGGAAATCATCTACGAACCAAATGTATAACAGAGTATGGTCCAAATTTCAAGAGTTTGCTTCTTCAGCAGGTTTGCCCGCCGATAGACCTCAAATTATGCATGTCTTAGAATTTTTCCAAAGGGGCTTAGATATGAACTTAAGCTTGAGTTCCTTAAAGGGACAGGTGTCGGCTATTTTGGGCCTTTACGGAAGTTCAGTGGCCATCGGACCCTCTTCTTTCCCAGTTCCTCAAAGCTGGTATGTGACTGAAACCTCCTAGAAAGCTTCTCTTTCCCAAATGGGACCTACCTTTTGGTTTTAGATTATCTTGCCTCGGACGCCTTTGCGGTGGATACCTCTCTCTGGCTTCTCACCCTGAAGACTGCTTTCTTGGTCGCAGTGACCTCTGCTAAAAGGGGCTCTGAACTTGCTGCTCTGGGCTGTAAAGAACCCTTTACCACATTCATGGCTGATCGTGTGGTCTTGGTGCCCATGATTGGGTTTGTTCCGAAGGTGGTGTCCAAGTTTCATTGTCAACAGAAGATTGTACTCCCAACACTCTGCTCAGGTGATTGTGACCGGCTGAATCGGCTGGATGTGGTACACTAAGGGCATACATTGATGCTACGTCCGCTGTCAGATCCACAGATCATCTCTTCATTGTGCCAGCAGGGTTCAAGAAGGGTTCAAAAGCTTCCAGTCGCCTTATTGCTTCATGGATGGTGAAGACTATTGATCTGGCTTATAAAGCTAAGGGGTTGAATACGCCATGTGCAGTTACGGCTCATTCTACGATTAGTATTTCTACGTCTGGGCCGCAGCCAGTCGAGTCTGCAAGGCGGCCACTTGGTCTTCTGTTCAAATCTGTTGATTTTGGGCGGAGTGTTATTGCGTCCGCTGCTGTATGTGATTAAACACCCCCCCTAGTTGTGCGAGTTATTTCCCATTGTGTGCTGACATGGAGCTGACAGGTAAACCGGAAAATTGAACTTCATACTTACAGCACTTTTCCTTCCCTGTACAACTCCATGGCAGCACATGGATTCTCACCCATTTTAAAATCGTCTAGTTACGGAACAGTGGGGATTCTGGGAAGCCCACATTTATGAGTTACTATCCTGTTAAAGAGCAGGAGGGTGTGATTAACCCATTGTGTGCTGCCATGGAGCTGTACAGGAAAGGAAAATTGCGGTAAGTATGAAGTTCAATTTTCCGGTTTTGCTACTAACCATCTGTTCTTGGATCTTTGTGGGGAAAAAACTGGATGGCAGTGTGCATCTAAGCCACCTCAATGCATCTCGCTTATATTTGCTGCTCCGCCACATCACTATAGTAAAAATAAAAGTCTGGGCCTATCCGTGAATAAAACTGCCCTACCGTTTGACGATTTTACACTGCTGCATTCACTGTGGTCTCCTAATTCTTTTAGTAAAACCCCTGCCTGTTCTCTTCAACTATTGTATATTTGAGCCTTGTTTTCATTGTTAACATTGTTCTGCTCCTGGCTAATTTTACAGTGCTGTATTATTTGCAGCAATTAGAGACAGGCTTGAATGTTTTGGGTTTTTTTGGCCATGGTACATGGCAGTGCTCAGCTCCCCATTAATTTTTTGAAAATAGTAAAATTGTTTGCCCATTAGCCTATTAGGTGTTTTTAAGTTTAAACAGGATTCACCAGGGTAATAGAAACGGACCAAGATAGTGTAACATTGCAGGAGGACCTGGATAAAATAGGGGGGTGGGCAACTATGTGGCAGATGAGGTTCAATGTCAATAAATGCAAACGTATGCACTTTGGGATAAAAAATAAGCAAATGGGTTATGCAATTATGGGTATGCCGCTAGGGAAGTCTGAAATGGAGAAAGATTTGGGGGTCATTGTAGACATAAACTGAAAAATAGATTACAGTGCCAGGTTTCTGTAAGCAAAGCAAGCAGAATCCTGTCCTGCATCAAGAAGGGAATGTTTTGCAGGGATAAGTCTATAATTTTGCCACTTTACACATCACTGGTTCGGCCTCACCTGGAGTATGCGGTGCAGTTTTGGGCACCGGTGCACAGAAGGGATGTCCTTGAGCTGGAGGGAGTCCAGCGGAGGGCAACCAAACTCATCATAGGGATGGAGGACAAGAGCTATGAGACAAGGCTACTAAATTTAAATATGTTCACGCTGGAAGTAAGGAGATTAAGGGGGGGCATGATTTTCATGTACAAAATGTTCTATACTCATAGCGACATTAGCAACAAACTATCTAAGATTAATTCCGTAACGAAGACTAGAGGCCACCACCTAAAACTGGTAGAAAAAAAATTCAAACACAAGGGGCGAAGGGGATTCTTCTCAGTTCGAGCGGTTAGCGTCTGGAACTCGTTGCCACAAGCAGTGATTTCAGCTAATAGTGTGTAATCATTCAAGAAGCTTTTGGATGATTTCCAGAGACGGTAATATACAGGGGTACAGGTACTCCTAAGAACGAGATGAATCAAGGACCTATACACACACACACACACACACACACACACACACACACAATAGGTTGCACTTGATGGACATATGTCTTTATTCAACCTCAAAAAAACCAAATGTAACTATGTAACCAAACCCTTGTGAAATAAAACCTGGGCAGATTCGCTCTTCCCTTTTTTCTATAACATAGCAAATCTTTGCTTTTTGAATTCTGGTCTACTTTAAAAATCTTTGGCTGCTTGTTAGAAATACTTCAATACTTTTGCTACAATACTACTCTTATAGTCTGGAAACAGGTGCACTTTAGCTACAGTACAGGTGAAACTCGAATAATTAGAATATCGTGCAAAAGTAATTGCAGTAAGTGCTGCAAAAGGGGCCCAAACCAAGTACTGAGTACATATGCATGCTTGTACTTTTCAGAGGTCCGATATTGTTCTATGTACAATCCTTGTTTTATTGATTGCATGTAATAATCTACTTTTTTGAGGTTGTGGATTTGGGGTTCTTGGGGTTTTCATGAGCTGTAAGCCATAATCATCACAATTATGACAAATCACGGCTTGAATTATCTTGCTTTGCATGTAATGAGTCTATCTCATATATTAGTTTCACCTTTTAAGTTGCATTAGTGAAATAAATGAACTTTGCACAATATTCTAATTATTCGAGTTTCACCTGTACATTCAATGGAATACAATGCTAGTCTGACTTTGGCCAGTAGATAAGATTATGGTTTTATGAACACTCATAGTCAATAGTCTTCTTTACTCTTAACAACATATGAGTTTAAAATATTCTCAAATCTATTCTTAGGTTTTCCTTAGGTGGTAGTTTAGTTCTTGACGCTGTATACTAGTGATTGCAAACATTTTCTTAGCTCATTTTGCCTTTTTTTCTGCAGTCTTTTGACAGCTTGGTTGCTTCTGAAGATGGATGCTCGAAATGCCATTCCACCTCTGAGCTGTCGGACACAGAGTTCAGTGACGTGTGCAGGGAGGGCTGGCTGCTCTATAAGCAGGTCCTTGCCAATAAGGGAAAGGTATGACAAGATGGCTGTGTGGAGAAATAATTTAGCAACTAATAAGATGTGTGGACCACTGAGATGTTTGATATAGCGATAATTGTCAATAGTTTTAGAAAACACCTATTTTATGCCAATGGTAATTGGAGGAAACAGGACTATGTTCTTCAGTGTGTGGGTGTACTGCCACCTAAAGCTATACCCCTTCATTTGCATTATTTTAAGATTCAGTATGAGTAACATTACAAAATACAGAAACATACAATTAGACAATTCCATTATCCTCAGGTGCATTCAAATGAAGTGGTTAAGGGCTAGTTCTGTGAACGCACATAACGGTTTAGTTATGGTTTTCTCTTTTTTGTATTTGTATTTTGGGCATTTTTTTTAAACAACACGCAAGAAATGTGAAAATATGTGTATCTCAAATAAATAGGGCGTAAAATCTTACATCGGGAAAAGTACGGCAAAACAGAGAACAAAAACAAACAATGGGGGGGGGGGG